TCCCCGCTCTAGACCGCTGCCCTACAGCAGCAGCCAGGGCCATGCTCGGCGTCGCCCTGTCTCCCTGTGAGGCGCCTGGGCTCGAGTTGCCGTGCGCCGAGCCGCCTCGCCTCGTTTCTCCTCGCACCGGCACCCCTCCCCGTCTTCCCTGTCGTGCCGCCCTGGTCAACGCTGGACCACGGCCCTCGACGCTGCTCCTCCGATGCGCCTATGCCACAGTCGCCATTGCTCCTCCCGCAGCGCCCGCTGTGGCCACGCGCCGCCCCATCCCTGTTGCTGATGCTGTCGTAAGGCTCGCGCAGGGCCTAGAAGGGGTTGCGCTGGGTCTGCCCGGTGCCATGGAGCCCGCCCTCGCCTGGCGCCGCCTGCTGCCTGGCGCCGGTGAGGCAGCCGCCGCCGTCATCCCGCGGCCATCCGTGTGCGCGCGTGGAGGGTGCTCCTCGGGTCCCGCTCGGCCACGTTGTTTCCGTCCTCGGGTGCGGCCGGAGCCGCTGGCACTTCCCCGTGTCGCCTCGCTTCACCTCCACCGTCGGCGAGCCACCGATTGGGCCGACGGATTGCTTCCTTGTCCGTGCTCTGTTTTGGAGGATGAGGTGAGGACGTAAATATGTAAATATGAGATTTTCTGAGGGTCTAGATGTAAAGACTGTGACTCAAATGAATAGTAGAAACAGTAGCATACTAAATAGATAGAAACTTGGGGACATTTTTGCAAAACCATCAGCGCATCCTGGGCTTGCCTAGTTAAATTTGCTGGTTGGGCCACGCTTCATTGTCTGTTTGGGCCATGCGCCTCCTCTGTGGTCACAAGCTGCTGCTTTTGTCTCGGGCCGACCATGTGCCATTGGGCCACGCTGGTCGGTGGGCCACGCTCGTCTCTTGGCCACCCACGCGCCACGTCTCTTTGGCCACCGCCGCCATGCACTGCGTCTGCTGGGCGAATCAAGTTGCCTCCGGCCCTTTACGTTATCCAAATGCTTTTCTAATATAGGTTTCTAGTTAACTTGTAAAATCAATATAAAATGGTAAATAAATCCAAAAATTATGAATCTAATTTTGTTAGTCTCATAAAATCATGATCTACTTGTTAGTATATTTTATTCACATAGTTTAATAATATTCTTGGAAGCTATATAATTAATTTAAGGTACTTAATATTGTAAAAATATAAACTTGTAGGAATTATTGTGATAAATTGGTAATAGTGTTGAATCTGAAATTTTTACAGTAGGCTCCTAGCAATATTAGATACTCATTGTAATTTTTGTGGCTTTAGAATAATCAGGTTGCTAGGTAGCTAATGATGCCCTATTTCAAATAGGATTAAATTGATAGAATGGGATAAAAAACAACTTGGGTTTATATAACTAAAATAATTGTTGGAAAATAACGTCTTTTTCGACAACATGGATATGTAGCCTAAGTACGGTCGTCGTTAGAACTAACTCGTTAGCTTGAGTGGCGTAAATCGTATTTTACGAGTCACGATTGCAGTTGATTAATTACTTCTTGCATTGCATCGCATTGCATATCATAATAGAGACGTCGATGGATCACGAAGTCATCGGGAGTTGCTGGAGAAATGGTGCAATTGGAGATCGTGTCGCCATGATGGAAAGCTAACTTCTGATTATATTTTACCCAAGCAAGCCCCGATGTATAGCCCATACTTTTCTATAGTTTAAATTATATTTGTGCATTAAGTTTAAAGGAGTTGATTGAAACCCACTTGCATATAAATATCTTTATCCTATGAGTCTTACTAGTATAACAGGATCATGTAGATTGCTATGCTACAGAACTCCTGGTAGAAGTCGAGTGATTGCTGTCACTCGCGAGATAAAGGAAATATATTACTGTATTATTATTACTTGGAAAATATAAATGGTGGAAAGGAAAAATGGTGACCGAGCAAGGATATGGTTTGGGTATTGGTGGGTGTAAGAGGTTGTGTCGCCTCGGACACGGGCATAGCTTGGTTACACTGCTTTCCTTGTCTGTGTCGGTTAAGGATCGATTGTTGTATAAGGCTCTAGGCAAATCACAGACTTATTATCCCGAGCACATACTTGGGTATAGGGCGCTTGAAAGACTTGTTACTCTTTTGTCATGGGTTCTAGCTCTTTCCGGACCGACTGTCTTGGTGGTTTTTGGGTTAGGAGGTTCTTACACCGCACTGAGTCTGGGACTCAGGGGCGAGGCTTGGAGTCCCAGTTTGGACGGGGACCGGGACCCCGTGACAGAAGGGTAGTGGGTTGGTCCTGCTTGTGCCTTGGGTACAAGCAAGGCGTGTGTTTTTGGGGTACCCAGCTAGGGGCATTGATTCACGAATCGCCGGCGTTTCGGTATGACTTGTCTGTGGTCTAGCAAGGTAGTAAGAACTAAAAGATGAAAGATGGAAAAAGAAAATTCTGATTGCTTACCACCTGCTTGAAAAGTAGCACATGTGCTTACATAGAATGGTTGGTTAATGAACTAATGCGGCTGTTAATAAAAATCGAATATAAGGACACACTTTTAGTAATGCTCCTGCAGATACAACAAACCCACAAGCCAGATAGCATTGCATATCTTTGGAGTCTTTTCTTTTCTTAGGTAGGGTAAGTCTTGCTGAGTACAATTGAGTACTCAGGGTTTTATTTCCCCCTATTGTAGATGACAGATGGATGTTAGAGCTGACCCTTGTGTGTGGATTCCTCCTGGTGGGTTCAGAGATGATTTTCTTTACGCTGCGATCATAGTATTTATTTATAACTCTCACTAAATATTTTTATAAATAAAAGTTTATAATCTATTGTCATAGTTTACATATCAATGCTTCATCATGCTATGAATAGATAATTATTTCCGCTATAATTCTGATCACATGTTTATATTCCGCCGTTACATTAAATTGTTCATAACTCTGATAATATGATTACATTCCGCTGTTATAATAATAAATATTATACTCTGATGTTGTATTAAAAGTGATGTAAGAAATAATTAATAATGATGTAAGCTTTATTCTCTCATTTGTGATCCTGATGGAAAAATATAGATTTTTGGGTTCTCCCTCGGAGTGTGCCCGACGGAACTGTGTAATTTGGTGTTTTCCCTTGAGTGCTTAGTGCCTAATGAAAGATGAGCACTCCTAAAAGATATTAGATTAAGCGGTTCTGCCACACACGCGCTCACCGAAGCTCAGGCCTCGTGGTAGTCGAGTCTGGTGGAGGCGGAGGTGCGGCACCCACCGGCGTCGAAACTGGTGGAGGCGGAGGCGGAGGCGACGTGGCGCTTGCCCAAACTCAGAGTGGGAAGCGGTTGGGGCTGCAGTGGGGAGCGGGCGACGGTCGCGACTCGTGACTTTGCGAGTGCGGCGCGGGGAGGGAGGGGAGCCGGGAGTGAGAGAGTGCGGCGCGGGTGGGAAGGGATTGAAGTTAGGGTTAGGGGTTGGGGGCACAACGCTTCTTTTACTAGGCCACCATCGTGCCTGCCTATGATGGCCGGGTCGGGCCGTGCCAGCCCACGGGCCTGAGCAGCGGCCTAGGCACGGCCTGCTCCCCCAGGCCGGGCCAGGCCGGGCCAGGCCGGGCCCACCGACCATTAGGGTGTGCCGTGCTTGGGTCGGACAAAAAATACAAGCTTCGTGCCGGGCCGCCGTGCCTCGCGCTGTATGGACATTTATACCAAATGGTACTTCGAACTTGAAACGAGCATGAAGAGATTAACGAGACTTCTTTCTCTTTTGAGTTTTTCTAGCGGACCGGTCGCGCAAGATCTTTGGTCTTCCTCCGAAACCGATGAAAAAGTGGGTCACTTCTTATGGACTCGCTCAGAATGATTGTTTTTATTACTATTTCCTCCGCTCAATGGATAAAGATGACCCCTTCTTCCTATACATTACTAAGGAACAATAGTCTTTCTTTTATAGGTGAAATTTTACTGGATTTTAGTTTATACCCTTCCTGGATTATATGAGACCAAAAACAAGAAATGACAAGAAAGTTCTATATGGATACAGAAATAGAAGAAAATTAGGATGATTGTGGATTAAATGGTTCCGAACCTGTGATTTTTTGTTGTTGTAATAACAAGAAATTTAATTTAATACTTGTAAAACGTTTAATTATTCGAATGTATTGGCAGAATTTTTTTGATTAATTCGGTTAATTATCCTAACCAAGATCAATTGTTTGATCACCGCAAATTTTTTTATTCTAAGTTTTATTCTCAGATTCTATCCGAAGGGTTTGGGATTGTTGTAGAAATCCCACTCTCGCTAGGGCAACTATCTTGTCCAGAAGAAAAAGAAATACCAAAGTTTCAAAAAATTTATAATCTATTCATTCAATATTTCCCTTTTTAGAAGACAATTTTTTGCATTTACATTATCTATCACATATAGAAATACCCTATCCTATCCATTTAGAAATCCTAGTTCAACTCTTGAATACCATATTCAAGATAGATATATTTTTATTTGTTACACTATTTTTGTTATGTAAGCCCACTTAGCTCAGAGGTTAGAGCATCACATTTGTAATGCGAGGATCATCGGTTTAAATCGCTCTATCTTATTGATACGTTACAAAAAACTCCACTTGAATCGTCTGATTCCTCTTTACCGAAGAAGCCTGTGCTCGAAATAATCGAGCATGGGCTTTTCTGGTCAAAACGTATCTTGTCTTTATTACTTTATCATGAGTTATTTTCCTTGGTGAGGGCCGAAATACTAACGGCCCACTAGGTGCCACTAGCGGCGGGACTGCGGCCTGCGGGTGCGGGAGGAATGATTTGGCGGGAACATCGACAAAACGCCGCCGTTTCCCCTCCCCATTCCTTCCCCCAAACGGCCAAACCCCACTTTCGCCGGCCCGTCCGTCACAATTCGATTCGTCCACTTCCATCCCGACTCGGCGACTCTGTCGCCGCTCGCCCCCTCCTCTCGACGCGAGCAAAACCACTCCGCTACCGTCCACCCATTCCGGCGGAGCCCCCTGCCCCCTGCCAGAATCAGAATGGAGGCGGCGCTGAAGGCAAGCATCGCATTGCCCCAACTCCCCACCCCCAAAACCCTAGGCGCCGTGGGGCCCCGACGCCGCGCGGCGCTAGAATCCTATCCCAACGGCGGCGGCGGTCTAATCCCGCACGTTCTGTATGTGCAGGGCTATTTCGGGTACTCAACGTTCCGGCCGTACCAGAGGGAGATCATACAGAAGGTCCTGGATGGGCGGGATTGCCTCGCCGTCATGGTCACCGGCAGCGGCAAGTCCATCTGGTAGAGTCGGTCTCCCTCGCTTGTTTTTTTTTTGGTGTTTTATTATGACGAAATGGCTGTGCGGCGCTTGTTTCTTTATTTATTTATTTTGGGTGGGGTGTTGTCGATGGTACAATCTAAGTTCCAATGCTGCATTTATTGGACGATGAGTTGTACCTCTGGCGCTTTCTGGATCTATTTTTTGTGGATGGTTGAGATATTGCTCGAGATTGATTGATTGATGGGTTTCAATGGTTTCGTAAATACATTTTGTTGAATGTAGCCATTAAGCTATAATGGCCAGGTCGTTTTCATTGTAGTGTGCATATCTTAACATTTTCTGCCAGGAAATCATCAGGTCAGCTGGAGTTTAACTGCACCTAGGAAATCATGATTAGAGTGGATTGTGCAGAAACCGGCAAAATTATCTTCTCAAAAGGACCTGACCACATTTTTCTCTGTTTCATAATTGTTGTCATCTGCAAAACCTTTTAGAGCTGTTTTGTTTATCAATTTCTACAAAAATCTATAGTCGGTTGTTGACACTAGAGCTGTGGGTTTGCAGCAGGATTTCAAGCGAAATGCCTCCTATTTGCTAATTTGTTTTTTTGTAAGTATATATATATATATATATATATATATATATATATATATATATATATATATATATATATATATATATATATATATATATATATATATATCTCCTTAAATTATTTGCTGATCTCTCACATTTCTTGAGAAAAAAGGAAATGCGTTTTGTCGAACTCATTTATATTAAGTAAATATTTTATAGTAGCCTCAACAGACCGTAGTTCTCTTCTGGTATATCCAGACAATAGGTAGGAACAAGACTGAAAGATTCTATTATTTCATTTTATATACAAAAATTGCTGTTCGATTATGGCAATTCCTCTTCTGGCAGCTATCAAATTCCCCCACTGGTTACAAAGAAGACAGCTGTTGTTGTAAGCCCTCTTCTGTCCCTGATGCAAGACCAGGTAGGGTTGAAATGTTCAATATATCCTTAGTGCTTTACTCACGTTTTTAAATTTCTTTTACCAAAATACTTGGTGAGGACTTCATTTCCTTAAAACAGGTTATGAGTTTAAAACAAAAAGGTGTGAAATCTGAGTACCTTGGCAGCACCCAAATGAATAGCTCCGTCAGCAATGAGGCGGAAAAGGGCGCGTTTGATGTGCTGTACATGACACCAGAGAAAGCCATTTCACTTCCTTCAAGGTGAAACACTATAATATTTGGTATTACTTTAGATGTTATAAAAGCACATGGTGTGCTGGACATGTTCTTGTGACACCATAGTAGGCTGTTGCAAACTTGAATAGCTTGTCCTTCTGAGTATGCAGGATTAGTGGAAGAGGTTGTAGATACCTTGGTTAATAGTGAAGGCATATGTATATTGCTTCAAGTTATTGTGCGTGTCAACATTATTTTCATAGGTAACCGAGATGTAGCTATAAATAGAGTTGCAACGAGGACCCAACAGGATTTATTTCTAGGGAACTCGGAATCTTGGGCTGTTGAAATATCTGTCTCCAAAAGGAATGTGTGTATCCTTGATAAAATGCCTCCAATGAAATTGATTATAGGTAATGCTAGTGACAGATATGTGTTTGCTCAAGGAAAGGCTTCTTGGCTCACCTTCTGGTTTGTTGTTATGTGGGGACAGCTGTACTGTGATGCAGTGCAGCACGCTTGAACTGGCTCCAATATCCTCTCCAACTTCATCACGTTAGTTTAATATTTAGTTTAGAGATTGAGCTGGCTTGCACATTAATATTGAAGTTTGTTAGTATGTTTTGTTGGTCTAGGATTCTAGGAGATGGCTGTGTAATGCCATGCAATTAATTGAATAAAGGAAGCATGATTAAACTCCCCAAAACCCATCCATCCTGTGCGTTGTCTCTGGGCGACGTTGCTGTCATGGTTCCGCCCTTGTTGAAGCATATGGTCCTGCATCCGCGTCCATTCATCTTCCACCGCTACCACCCTTACCCTACAACCTTCAATCCTTTGATACGAGTTGCAATCCATCACACTTGGCTGCAATAAAACTTGAGAGTTCTGTCCTGGGTAGATCAATATTTATACAATAAAGCTGTGGCCTTATCAAATCTTATTATATGTTCGTCATGTAGATCTTTGGCCATATGGATATATTTAGTAGGGCCCTCCCCTACTGTTCTTCTGAAAGAAACAAAACAAATAATACATGCAGTTTTTACTAGGTTGACTTACTTTTCTTTTCCATTTTTGTCCAGGTTTTGGAGTAACTTGCAGGCTGCTGGAATCTGCTTGTTAGCTGTCGATGAAGCTCATTGCATATCGGAATGGGGCCATGATTTCAGGTTGTTTTTTCTTTTGATTTGATAAATGGAACACTGAACACGTCTTGTAAAAGTACAGGGTACTTAGTCATTTGAGTTTCATAAACAATATATTTATGGTATTTGGAAAATCCTGTATTCACTTGTGGAACAGGTATTTGTGGTAGTTATATGTAATGGTGGGATGGATTGTGTGTTCTTATTTATCCAGATTTTGGGCTGATGCTATTGCACCTTTATGTGCATGCTTTTTCTATATTTTTCATCCCCCATCCTTTGATATTGAATTGATCGGAAGCGGAGAAAAATCGGCATTTCTCCCTCTTTTAACTTGATTTCCATAATTCAAACTCTCTTGCAGGATGGAGTACAAGCAGCTGCATTCATTGCGCGACCTTCTTGTGGGTGTTCCCTTTGTTGCTTTAACTGCCACTGCCACAAAAAGGTATGAATTTTACACTATCACTTTGTTTTCTTCCTTAAAGGGACAGGGTGAGATAAATAGCTTTAGAGCATTCAAATCCCCTAAAGATAATAACAATGAGCATTAGATTATGCCCATAGTGGTTATTAGGTGTTTGACTGTAAACAGAAGGATTTTCCAAAATTTGGTGATGGATGTCCGGCAGGTAGCCTCCAAAACCAAAGAGGACATCGACCTATGCTTTAGGGTCTTCAACAACCTGACTTAGACCTTGTATCTATCCCCCAGGACGTGTGCTGTGTGCTTTACTTTACTCTGTGTGCCCTTTGGGGGTTTTTGTGCCGATGGCACATTCTGTACATAAACTCTCTTTTCTTAATTGAGAGGCAGAGCTCCTGCTAGGTTCATTAAAAAAACAGTATCCAGATATCATCAAAGAGATGACAAAATCATACTGTTGTATCCCTGGTGTCAAAGTAGCACATATAGTCTCTAAAGGCAGCTGAACCTGCCAGACAAACATACAAATATCGCAACTGTATATTATGTAAATTGTCAGCATGAGTGGGCTCTCTCTCTCTCTCTCTGGGTGGTGGTTGTGGCAGAACCGTCCAATTTAACCTAATCCCGAGTGTACTTGTCAGTCATTTAACACTAAGTACACAAGAGACCAAGTTAAACCCGGTAGTCTGTCGAGTACACCCCATGGGAGAACTCGAAAATCCACATTTTCATCAGGATCATAAACAAGTGAATAAAGCTTACATCATTTATTAACCATTTCATACATCACAAGATTACGTAAAATCAGAGTTAAAACAGGTTTCATATAAGCAACGGAAGAAGGGCCATTTTATACAAGAGCAGCGGAAGTAAATAGTTTTGAATAAAGCAGAAGTAGAATTATATGAGAGTAAAACTACTACGATCACAGCGGAAGGATTTCCTCGCTGAGCCCACCAGGATATATCCACACACAGCAACGATTAGCTCCAGCATCCACCTGTTACCTGCAACAGGGGGAATAAAACCCTGAGTATACAATGTACTCCGCAAGACTTACCCGACTAGGTGGGAGTAGCCTCCCAACTCTCAAGGATATGCAGGGGGCTATTTGATAGCTGTTTGGTTGTTTTTGCAGAGAAGGATTACTAACAGTGCATCCTTATATTCAAAGTTTTAGCAATCACATCAAGTACATTCCTTAACCATTCTAGGTAAGCACCTGAACTACTTTCAAGCATGTGGTAAGCAATCATAATATTTCTCATGATCCGCAGTACCCTCATCATCACCTTCATGTTTCAGTTGTATTAACTACGATAGCAGTAGTTCGACAAGTGGTATCCATATCCGAGGAGGGCGGCGATTGCAATCGATGTACATCCAGCTGGGCAATCCCAAACACACGTCCGATACTTCTCGAAGGAGCAAGTACAAGGCTACCTTTCCTCTCGTACGACCCAGGTCTAAAAGCGACCCGACCATTTGGGGAACCCACCCTATGAGGCCCGTCCCGTGAACCGGCGACGGGTTCCCCCCTCATAAGTTTTACCATGGACATCCCCTGCCTCCTAACAACTCCTCGAATGGTCAGTGTAACACTCCAATAAACTTTTTAGGGATCCTGAGTCGTAGGAAAGTACTTAGCTTCACGATCAACTGTAACTCAGGCCCCTGTTATGTGTTCGCGGTCCTTAATCGACATAGGTGGGAAACGTGCACCCAGAGCCGCGCCCTGTTGCACCTACCAACCATTCAGAAAATCCATTTTTCCTCTTCTTGCCCGGTCTCCAATTATTGTCCATATCCAAAACCATGTGACAATAGTAATAGTATAACCATCACCTATTTCTCGCGAGTGACCGTCCATCACTCAACTTCTACCGTAAGCCCTATAGCATAGCATACTACACGATCCCTATCTTACTAGTAGGACTCATAGGATAGAATATTTATGCGGGTGGGTTTCAATCAACTCCTGTAACTTAATGCACGAACAACATAATAATAAGTGCTATAAAATAGGGGTTATGCACCGGGGCTTGGCTGGGTAAACCATCATTATACTATGTTAGTCGGCTCCATCTTCGGGACGTGATCCAACCATCTCCATCTTCTGGACGTGGTCACATTACACCGGCTTCTGGTTCAACTCCATAGGCCATCAATTCATCCATCAACCACCAACGCACCTAAATGATATGCATAGATGCAAATGCATCCTTAAGTCAAACAAGTGTAACAAGACATTTACAAACAATACAAGACAAGCAACACGTCATCACGGTGAAGGGTAACTAAACGTTGGAGGTTCGACTCTCATCCTCTCCACAACGACTTAGGGGATGTTTGTTTGCCCCTCCTAAATTTTAGTCGCTGTCCCATCGGATATTTGGACACATGCATGGATTATTAAATATAGACTAATTACGAAACTAATTACATAGTTTGCGACTAATTTGCGAGACGAATCTTTTGAGCCTAATTAGTCCATGATTTGATAATGCTTTGCTACAGTAAACATGTGTTAGTGACGGATTAATTAGGCTTAAAAAATTCGTCTCGTGGAGTACTGACGGATTATGTAATTTGTTTTTTTATTAGTATCCGAACATCCCATGCAACATCCTCCCGACACACCTCCTAAATTTTAGTAGCTGGATCCAAATACCCCCTTACTTGCGAGTTACTATTATCACACAAGTGAGCAAAACAACTATTTGCATTTTAAAACATACAAGTGAAAGTTCATCATAACATGCCAAGCACACTTCTACTTACTAAACACACTTTGCCTATACATCATGTAAAACAAGTAGTATAGACAAACATATATTTTTTGAACGGGAAATACAGCAGGGGAAGCCCCCACTGTAGGAATATATTAAATAAAAACTGAAACCTGTACAAAAGAGAGAAATAACAACAAACCAACCAACCGGGGGGCTGAGTGATACGGCGTTGCCGCCGAGGAGTACGCAGAGGAGATTGGAGGAGTAGGCTGGACTGGGAATTGGAACGGAGGGGATAGCGAGGCAAAGGTGCAGTGGAGACGTCGCCGGCGGCAGCGGCAGAAGCGCGCGCAGCCACCGTCGAAGAGGAACCCCACCTGCACGGTAGAGTTCTATTCTTCTTCGATACCTGATTACAGCATTCCTAGGACACCTTTATACTCCAGGTGTCTTCCTAACAAACCAAGACCCAGATCCTATAATTCCTCCTGATTTATTGCTTTCTAAAACAGATAGAGGCGCCTCAGCCACTAATGGCGCGCCTGGCCTTGCGCCGGTACTGCCTGCCTATGAAGGAGTCCACAACACTGAGGTCGCCACGGCAGGAAGGGAACCGCAGGCCAAAAACTAGGGAGGCCTAAGAGAGATCTAAACAGAGGAGAAAAGCTACACGTTTATCATCTCTCATTCTAAAAGCCTGAAGTTTGGCCTCTTCACAGAAGAGTTTTTTCCAAGAAGAGAAAGAAGGCCGGCCTCTATCGAATATGAAGTTGTTTCTCTGCTTCCAAATATGCCAGGCAGCAATGATGAAGGTCTCCATGAAGAAAGGATTTTGGTGCTGCTGTTTTGATTGTATCATCATTTGAAAGAATTCACTCTGAAGGTTCCATTGGATTCCCAAGTGCTGCCAACATTCCTGGCTGAAGGGGCAACTGAAAAATAGGTGGTGAGCAGTTTCCTCAACATTGTTGCTGCAGAGAACACAGTTGTAATTATTGCCCTCTAATTTGCTGCAGAGACAAACGTATATTAACCCTAATCTAAACACTTAACATATATAAAAGCTTTAATAATTATAACCAAGGAATAAAAAGGTGGCGCACCAAACATCTATTTTGGAGATGAAAATTTTATGGGAGACACATCTTAACTAAACAAAGCTACTGCATAAATTTCATAATTTCTGGATAAGCAGATTATTTACTAACAGTTAATTAAGATTTAATGGTGATAAAAGCATGTGACACATGATAAATCAATAACTCAGTAAATAAACATCCATTGGACATGGAATTTTTACCAGAGCACACACACATCTAGACTAGTTTACCATAAAAATTTCACTGCATTTGCACTAACCAAACATCTTCTATTAATTTACCAAGGAAAACATAGATCTGAAATTACAGCAATAATTTTATACTAAAACATGTGATATTATATATCTAGTGCATAGATCTAGTCATGTGAAGTGTAACAAAACTGGTTTGGCATTTTTAGGATTTTTCTACAATTTACTATGAATTTTCAAAGTTTCAACTGATTTATACTAAAAAGAAAAAGGAAAATCATATAAGACAAACACTTTGTACTGAGGTCCCTGTAGTTTTATCAAACCAACCCACAGTACATTACACACTATGCAGCACTATTCATATAAGTCACGAGATTTACATTGGGAACCCTGGAAAAGCTTCTATTTATGCGCGAGGTCCTTCTCTTCTCCCTCGTCCTCACCAAGCAGAGGAGGGCCACTGCAGGGCCGATTTCCGGCCATGGAGGGCTAGGCGGCGGCGATGGACCAGGCGGAGGGGTGCGCGGGCCCTGCAGAGACCTGGGGCTGTCCACGTCCTCGCTGGAGGCGGCCTGAGGCGGTCCAGCCGCGGACGCCGGCGGCCAGCGGCAGGCGGCAGCGGCGCTGTGGGGCGTGGCGGACGGCGAGGACCCAGGGAAGGAGCGTGGGAGGGGCGGCGTGGGCAGGGGAAGGCGGTAGCGGTGCCAGCTCGGCCGGGCGCAGCCGGTGGTGGCCCGACCACGCGTGCGGTCCGCGGCGGGCGACTGTACGGCGGCAGTGGCGCTAAAACGGCTACGGCAAGGCGGCTCCGGCCTTGGCGGTCTCAGCGAGTGTGTGCGAGGCAGAACGGGGCCAGAGGCGGAGTTGGTGACGGTGGAACGCGGCGCAGCAGCTAGCAGGAGCTCTCGACCGGCCATGGCGACATTGCGCCGAGACACAGAGCAGAGCGAGCGGGAGGCAGAGGGGAAGTGAGGCGCGCGAGGGGCTCGGCCTCCACTTGAGCGCGAGTGCAGGGGCAGCGCGGCATGGGCGGGCGCAGAGACACAGCGCGACAAGGACGACGCCGCTGTGCGTGCACATGGCCAGAGCAGGGCATGGGCGACGGCAGTGGCCAAGTGGCTCTCTTGGAAGCAACGTGCAGCGCGTTTGGTCAAGCTACGGGCCCCACATCCTGTATAAAATATCTTCAACTCGAAGCAAACTCCAACTTTGCTTAAGGGACCACTGTCATTAACGCAACAGATTAGGGGATAAACATGCTCAAACTTTGGTTTGTCAGGCTGATTCCAGAGACTTGGAAATTTTTCTAAGTTCTTCTGAAATTGAATTTGATTCAAACTTTGGTGCCTTAACTAATCTATCAAACATGCAAACTAAGCACCAACAAGCACTCCACCACAAAGTTCATAAATTGTACTAAGTTTTTCACACGGACATATTTCAGAGTTTATTAATAAATTATTTTTTTATTCAGCCTTCAACAAGCTATCAAGCAATTAACACCAATTAGGGTTTTTGACATTTTTAAGCATTTTCTCCATATTTTTCCAACATAAATCCTAAGCAACTTTTGTTCGCAGACTCATTTAGAGATGTTTAAGCACAAAAACAAAGTTGGTTGACATCACACGTGTTGACTATATTCACAAAGGTGATTTAACCAAACATGTATCGTATCATTTCATGCAAGAATTTATCACCAAGCATAGAAAACTTATTTATTAGGTTTTATTAAGCCTTAAACTATTGTTAAATAGGTACGTAACACCGGGGATGTTACAGTGGTGGTGGTGGTGGTGTTTTTTTTGGGGTGGGGTGGGGAACTGGTTTTCAAAACTGGTTCAATGTTACGCGCTCATCCTCTTCTTTCATAATAATTTTGCAGGGTACGCAGAGATATTTCTACTTCCTTGGTTCTACGCAGTCCTCATTTGGTGGTTGGCTCATTTGATCGTTCTAACCTTTTCTATGGTGTGAAAACATGCAACCGATCTATGTCCTTTATAAGTGAACTTGTGAAAGATGTTTCAAAGAAGAGTGCTGCGGGTGAGTCAACAATAATATATTGTACGACCATCCGGGACACAGAACAGGTTTGTGAACCATAGTTATATAATTTCAGACTTGCAATTGCTAATGCTTGAGAATGCAAACATCAGTTTTTTTTTTCCTGTGCTCCTTAAAAGTACCTGTGCATTTTTCAGATTATTATATAGATGCGCATCAAATTCGTGCAATGTGAATTTGTTAATACTTGCTTTTGATTGTTTGAGTAACAAGCTCTTCCATTGTTTTTCTGGTCAATGGGACACTTTTAGATTCCATTCGGGTATGTTCACTGTCTAAAAAATTTGGAAGTGGGATTTTAGAAGTTTTATCTGTGGGTTTCTGGAATAATCTGATGAATTTGGGCTTCCTTATTGACTTTGTGTAACCTGCTTTTAATACATAATAGATTTCCACTGTTTCAACTTGTGTAGATAAAAAAAATCTTTTCCCCAGGTTCATGAGGCTTTAGTTACTTCTGGAATCAGGGCTGGAATTTATCACGGTCAAATGGGCAGCAGAGCTAGAGAGGAATCCCATAGGTTTTTCATCTATTCACTGTCTGCTCTATTTTGGGTGTCTGTTCGTTATGTTGTTTTTCTTCTACATACATTTTCCTTGAGCAATGTAAATCCTTGACTATATTGTTTTGAGTTTTGACCAATGCTCAAACGATATTCTGAACCATTTGTCAGTATCCTCTCTGAAAAATGATTTTGTTGAACTATTTTTATTGACCTGTTACTGTTAGATATGCTTGACCATGTCATTATGAGAAATGGAATATCATGTGGTTTATAAGTACCATGATTTGGTTTAGTCTCAACATTCTCTATAAAATATTTACTAGATTGTCTTTGTTCTGTTAGATTCACATTGATCATGCAATCAATTAATTAGAATTAGAAAAGTAAAACAACAACAACAACAACAACATAGCCTTTCAGTCCCAAGCAAGTTGGGGTAGGCTAGAGTTGAAACCCACCAAGATCCCCAAGTCACGGTTCAGGCACTTCAATAGCTGCTTTTAAAGTACTCCTATTGAAACATAGATCTCTAGGTATATCCCAAGCTTTCAAATCTCTTTTTATTGCCTCCCCACCATGTCAATTTCGGTCTTCCTCTACCTCTCCTCATATTATTAGCTTGGCCTAGGACTCCACAATGCACTGGTGCCTCTGGAGGTCTCCTTTGGACATGGCCAAACCACCTCAACCGATGTTGGACAAGCTTTTCTTCAATTGGTGCTACCTCTAGGCGATCACGTATATCATCGTTCCGAACTCTGTCCATTCTTGTGTGACCGCAAATCCATCGCAACATACGCATTTCTGCAACACTCAGTTGTTGAACATGTCGAATCTTTGTAGGCCAATAATTAGAAAAGTAAAACATTTAGACAAATACATAGGTCAAGGGGGATAAGAATGGTCAGTTGTTTGATTTATGCATTCAGTTTTGTACAAATTATGGTGGCAGATTAAATTATGGTGGCAGATTTATGATTGATCATTGGTTATGTTGCTCCTGCAGATCCTTCATTAGGGATGAAGTTCTTGTGATGGTGGCAACTATAGCTTCTGGAATGGGTATTGATAAGCCTGATGTTAGATGTGTAATACACTATGGATGTCCAAAGAGCCTAGAGTCCTACTACCAGGAAAGTGGGCGTTGTGGAAGAGATGGACTGCCTTCAGTCTGCTGGCTATATTACCAAAGAAGTGATTTTACAAAAGCTGATTTCTATTGTTCTGAGGCAAAAAATGTAGGTCATTTTTTTGCATGCTAGATGTTTTCTCACTCCATCCATGCAGCCTAGTGCTTCTGCCGTGTGCCTACTTGTTTTCTTAATGTTTTATTTCATTAAACAGGGAACCCAGAGAAAAGCAATCATGGATTCCTTCATGGCAGCACAAAAATATTGCCTCCTTGCTACATGCCGTAGAAGGTTCTTATTGCAGTATTTTGGTGAAGAATGCAACACTGACTGTGGTATGTTCTTTTTATTTTATAACATTTATTTCTTGTCTATTCTTATCCTATAGCTTAATTTACTAGGTTATGCGGTATCATGCAACCTTACCTCGACTGCTGGAATTGTCTTGTAGTGACATTGATTAATGGCACATATCTTGATCTGCAGGCAATTGTGATAATTGCACAGCAGTGAAAAACGAGAGGGATTTGTCAAAAGAAGCCTTTCTGTTGCTGTCCTGCATCAAATCTTGTGGAGGACGCTGGGGCCTCAATTTACCTATTGATGTTCTTCGTGGATCACGAGTAAATCTTTATCCTTTTTGTTTCAGTTTTCTACAATGGTGACATACATGAGCTGCCTGTAGTTCATTTGATATCATGTATGTGTTGATAATTTTATCACTGGGAATGACCATATGTGACGGAATGCACTGTTACGTTTACTGAAGTCATGGCATACCGTAAGCTTTTGAAGTCTCCACAATATTTTTACTTTAGAAGATCAAAATGATTGAACCATAGTGACAACTCACAAAGTTCCTGGGTTGACGGGGTCGAGGAACGGGGTATGCTACTTGCGAGAGGTTTTTACACTGTGGGGTCGAAAATGACCCTGCACACCTGGGTCGGTGTCAATGTTTCTGGGTGGAGGGTTGATGCCTTAGACCCCGTCTTATGTGACTATGGATTGAACAGTAATTTTTTCTCAGAATTTAGTGTTGGTTACTAAATTGCTTTTTCTGGGTAGATGGGAAATACCAAATATTTTCTCATTTTGTAGGCCAAGAAGATTGTTGGCAACAATTATGATAAACTACAAATGCATGGACGTGGTAAAGATTATTCGTCAAACTGGTGGAAAGCACTTGGTGGTCTCCTTATAGCACACGGTACTAAATACTAATGTTGACCTCTCTATTTCATTCTACTATTCTTGTAAGTTGTGTGAAGCAACACATTTCTAAAATTGTTGATTCTGCCTGTGCACAGCCAATTCTGTTGCTGTCTTTTCCCTGACCAAAGAAGAAAATATTACAAAAAGATTTGATTTTGTATGCAAGCAAATGGCATATTATGTATGCACTTTTTTTTTTCTTTTGCCGTAGAAGATATTCACAGCAGATATGGCCATAATAAGTACACTGAATTATATTTTTAAGGCAATCCGTTCTCATGTACATTTTCACCTGTTGAGCGCAAACTTCGTTGATTATCGTTTTCAGGTCTTGAAACCTGTAAAGCTTAGAAAGTACACTCTGTTTTCAAGGCTAACATCGTTCGTTTTCATGGTTAACATCTTTCTACCAACCTAAACAGTAAGCACATTCATGAACATCTCAGATACTGACTTCACACCTTAAAATTTGTTTGAATGTAAACCTGGTTTATTCTTCAAAATGAAATACTGTTACTTGATATATGCCAACTTCTCCGTAGTTACACTGGTTAGACCTTTGAAGTCCAGGGCTTTGATGAAACCCTTGTTACTAGTCTAGGTTTGAAGGCTGGCACAAACTTTCTTAAGAACAAAATCAGGGGAGCATCTCTCCTCCTTCTCGAGTTTTTTTGTTTATTTTTTACTTGATATGTGGCTACGCCAAACTATCTGCATTAGGTTTTAGTACAATGAAATGCTTTTGCCATCCTTAAATTGTGCTATAATTTTTCTATTTTCTTCTTTTATCTATGCGCAGATTATTTGAAGGAGACTGTTCGTGATACATTTAGATTTGTCAGGTGCTGTGTTGCGGTTTCCTTATGGATTTTGTAGTCATTATATCTATTCCCTTTCTGCAGTCCTTTGCTAAGCTTAGTCTTGAAGTAAACTTTCCAGAAATGCTTAAGGACAACCACCCCTAACTCAGCGTCTATATATTCAGTGTCAGTCCAAAAGGGGTCAAGTTTCTCTCTACTGCTGATAAAATGGATGGAACACCACTGGTATTTCAGCTGACTGCAGAGATGATTGAACTAGAGGAGCATGGTAGTTCACATCATAAAGAAGGTGGTGGTTTAAATCCTGTGCCAACATTAGAATCTGAAAAAATTTCTGAGGTAGGTTCATCAAAATACTATTTATTAATCCCCACGCAGTCACCCACCTGGGAATTTCAGTTTTTTGTTCTTTTGTGCCTGATTTAAATTTCTTGCAGGATGAATCAAAACTCTATCAAATGCTCCTGAATGTTAGGATGAAGCTTGCTCAAGATATTGGCACTGCTCCGTGAGTAAAAATTTGAACTACTGTAACGAGTTTATGGATACAGGTTCTTTAGCTATTTTATGCTAGAATTTGGAAAAGTTAGTGAACTGAATTTCTTTAATCCCGCTTGTTACAGGTATGCTATATGTGGTGATCAGACGATAAGAAACTTTGCAAAGATGAGACCTTCTACTGGAGCTAGACTTACTAATATCGATGGTGTCAACCAGGTATTACTTTGAAAAGGTTACTTAGCAAACTATCTTTTGTTAATCCGAGTAGTATGCATCTCTGCAGTTCATCCAATTTTAAAAAAGACAATATCCTGACCATTCTTTTCTGTATTGTACTTATATATTGATACTTCTGACCTTTTGTTTGCAGCATTTTATCTCACGTTTCAGTAACATTTTCATCCAAAATATCGCGCAATTGTCGAAGGAGTTAAACCTCCCGTTGGATAATTCACCATTACCACTACCAACAACAAATCCAGCTGTAGAAAATATTGCTGGTATACCAAAACCTTTACAAAACAATCTTCCTGGGATCTTGGGTGATGCAAAGCTGACTGCTTGGGAATTGTGGCATAAGCAGGAGTACTCATTCCTGAAAATTGCTGTGAGTTACTACAGTTTTCGTTTTCCACTGACATGATACTCAAGTTCACAGATTGGTATGATTGTGTATTCTAGTATTTCCGCAGAGCAGTGCCAATAAAAGAGCAAACGGTTATTGCGTACATACTTGATGCTGCTCGAGAAGGATGTGAGATGGACTGGAGTAGGTTTTGCAGGGAGGTAGGGCTGACACCTGATATAGCCACCGCGATCCGTCTTGCAATCTCAAAGGTTGGATCACGTGAGAAGCTGAAGCCAATCAAAGAGGAGCTCCCAGAGAATGTAATTCTCCCTCAGCACATAATCATTCCATTTCTATTTGTGATTAAACATAGTATTAATATTGCTTCTGAAAAAAATAATAGCCACTCTCATCAGGCATTGGCGCACATTTTGTTGTATGTTCATCCAACGCAGCATGAATATCTAATTTACTTGGGAAAAATGCTATATGACAATCACAGGTAACTTACGACATGATCAAGACATTCCTGACTATTGAGGGGCGTGGATTGTCAGAGCAAGTCTTTGGTAACGGTACTGCTGATGGGGTTCCTAGTAGAATAGCAGAGTCCCCAATATCTTCCTCCCATGCAAGTGAAGCTAGCAGAAATGATATGGGAGATGGTGTCCCAGTGGCAGAGGCCAGTGATGCAAACCCTTCAGCAAAGAGAGGCCAAACTGTTTCTGCTGAGGAGCCAGCAACAAAACTGCAAAGGATAGACGAGCATGGGGCAAAGTCAACTGGCACAGCGGCTGCCACTGAAGAATCTGTGCTAGCTCTGGTTGCGAGCTGCAATGGGGTAATGTACTAAAGCATTTTTTTTCCCAAGCTTGATTGGAAATCCATGTGCGGGGATCCTCTGATGTTGAGTGACTTGGTCACAGATATGTGGACCCGTGAGCGTGGGGGCCAACATTTCAGTGATTCACTCTGACTTAAACGTCAGGAACTGCATCCGAAATCCTTGTCATTCCTGTGCTGACGAGTGGCATTGTTTCAGGTATCACTGGAGGATGTTGCCAAGCACTTCAAGGGATCCAAGAGAGAATCGGTCTTGGAGATATTGGAGGGCCTTGAATCTCAATTCATAATTTACAAGAGAAACGGGAACTACATGATCCTGTGACAAACTGAGGGGTTGCTGCATCCTATTTCTAGCAGCTTGCCGGCCTAGTCTGGGAAGGGGACATGCCTCAGTTGTGTGTGTATATATGTGCTGGTGGTGACTTTAGACTATGATAACAAAGTTGTTTCGGCTGGTGTGCATGTGCTCATTTTGGGGATTGGCCAGAACTAGGAGATGTACGAACGTGTGTTTGGTAGCACAATATCCCTTTGTGATCTGGTGTATGCGTATCTTGTCCATGGTTTATGTTTACTGATTCACTCCGCTCTTTTTCATTGGGTGCATGTGCTAAATCTGGGGATTGGCCTCCTTTTGGAACGAAGGATTGGTGATGGATGTTATAGGATCCGACTCCTCTTGCAATTTTCCGATGTGGCTATTTGGAATAAAGTATCAAAGACTTTAGAATCACACAGAATTACTATGAAATGGTGTAATTCATGAGAATTTCAGGGGAAATCTTGCACGAGGGTTGAGTTTCTTGGAAACTAAAATTTGTCTGAATCTTCCCCCCCAAGTTCTTTGTTTTTCCAGTATACATCCAAATGCTCTATGGAGAAAAACTTTCCGCATTCTAAATTACTGCAAATATCAGCCACTCTAACCATACATTTTCTCTGCTCTTATATTTTACTGTATGATTTATGATTATATTTTACTGTATGAATTATGATTGTTGCGATCCAGCGTTCCGAAGAGAGTCTAGTGAAATCACGAGATGCCTTGCAAGTGGCAAACAGAAGAAACCATAGCATATTCATGCCCTTGGAAAGCAGGTGAACCCACCGTCTTAAAAACAATTCGTGCCTCACGTGCCCGATGGGTACGCACAACACAGTGCTCCAGTGCTTTTGACGTACTCGGCGCGAGCCAGCACCCTTCCTGAAGCCAGACCAGACACCCACTGGCAACTGGCTGGCTTGGCTCACTTCACTCGGCGGCCGCACCCAACCGCAGTGCGCCGCCGCGATCAGAGCAAAGCAAACCCCAGGCCCCCAACCCGCCCGCCCGCAACTGCCTCGAACGCGGCAACGGCAAGCGCCCTCCCTCCCGTAGTCACCGCCGCAGTGAGTGAGATGATCAACGGAGGGGCCGCGGCCGCCGGGAACCCGAGGAGGAGGAGGACGCGATGAAGGCGCAGCCGCTGCTACCGGCGGCGCTCAAGAGGCGGAGGGGCCCGCGCGTGGCGGTGCTGGCGCTCGTCCTCTGCTCCCTGCTCGTGCCCTTGGCCTTCCTCTTCGACCGCGGCCCTTCCGGTAGGTACCCTACCCTATCCTCCCTCGCTCGCTCGCTTCCTCGCAATGCGCATTGGGTTGGGAGCGCGGGGGCCGCCGCGCTCGGATCACCGCTTCTCCGCCGGTGGATCTGGCGGTCCAGCTCCCCCCAGTGGTTGGTCGCCCGCCCGGTTACCGCGCGGCCGTGTTGATTAACCTCCGCCTTTCGCCTTTTCGGGATTGTTTTCGGTTTGGCGTACTTTACGATGGGTGTGCGCGATGCAGGGTACGTGACGACGGAGGAGCGGCGCCGACAGGTACCCTGCTGCTTCAAACCCTCTCTTTTGCCCGTAGTCGTTGTTGATGCTGATTGATTTGGACGTCACCATGTGCGAGCGGAGACGACGGCTCACTGATTTCCGCTATTTTTTTTTGACCCCCGTGTTTTCTTCACCGCGTTGGATTCAGGAGGTCGTTCTGCCTAAGTTCGATCACGAGGAGAAGAGGCGTCCTACTGGCGCTGACAGAGAGCGACAGGTCTGTTGGCTGTTACTCTGATTGGAAGCGATTGTTTTCTTTGTGATTTTTTGTTTTGTTTTGTTTGGAATGGAGGGACTTTATTGCGGGGCACCGAAATGATGACTATTAGTTATCACCTGTTTAAGACCCATCACGATGTTTGAAACTTTACTAACGCCTACGTGTTCTGCAATTAGAGGCAATGCTTTCTGGTTGGTTCCTCGCCTGTTAGTGCTGTAGGGACAATTTATTTTCCACATGTTACAAAGGTTCATTCACTGTTCTTTCTGCATCAAGTACAAGTGAATATATCGCTCCAATTTGCTTAAGATGTGTGAAGGATGCTTCTGCAGTCCGTGACAGTTGCATCTCTCAGGATGCGCCGGAGAGGAAGATCCCTAGAAGTAGTTCAGGAGTCATTCATCAACAAACACCGGAGAAGAACATCTCCAAAAGCAGTACAGGAGTCATTCATCACCAAACACCGGAGAAGAACATCTCCAAAGGTATGTCATAGCAGTTTCAAGGCCCAAAGTGCAAATGCCCTTGCTGCTAATGCTAGAACAGTGTTCAGGGTGTGTAAATTTTAAGCTACGCCAAGGTCATTGGGGTTGTACGACACCTCAATTGTACCACAGTGAAAATTATATGTGGACATCATTTCAGCTAGAGATGAAAATGACCAGAAAGGTCGGTAACGGTGTTTCCTATACGAAAACTATTCCCGGTCAGTCGGAAACTCACCGTATTTAAAATTTCACTATTTAGTGGTGACATCAATACGGTGCTGATTGCTGAAAGAAATTAGAAATCAAAAGTTCATTGAAACTAGAAACCAAAAGTTTAAATATGGCAATGGTTGGAAACTTTAAAAAACGATGTCACTTTTGCAGGAAACGATTCCTGGTAAACGGAACATTTTATTTCCCCTTTCATCCCTAATTTTGGCCTTGTGATAGATTTTTTTCCTGATGTTCATGGCTCTTCAATCTTTCACCTGTTGATGTTAAATTAAATTTCAGCTGTCAAGTTATTTTTTTCATTTCCCTCCTCTTGGTTCCCTCTCTTTTCCAAGATTTACTTTAGAACCTACCATCAATTATTTTTACCCAACTATCGCTTGAGTCCAGACAGACAAGCCATCTGGCTTATGTTGACTATCATAAAGTTGTCTTTATCACTAATGGTACTTGGTCAAAGCTATTTAGTGGTAGTTGGTCCTTATCATTTTTTTTTGTGGGCATCTTTTTTCATGTCTGATGCTGTAGTTATTTTGCTTTTCCTTACATCTGACTCAATAATTGCTAACATACGCAGTTCTTCCAGCACCAAAAGTTGAACCATCAAAGGATGTGACGAATTCAACTAAAGTCCCAGGAGTATGGATCTTTATCTTTAGCTTTCAAAGTTGTACTTTGTTGTTTCAGAATTGCTACTTCATGTCATTTCACAATCTCTCTCTCTCTCTCTCTCTCCCCCTCGCCCTCGCCCTCCCCCTCCCCTCCCCTCCCCTCCTCCCTCCCTCTCCCCTCCCTCTCTCTCTCTCTCCCTCTCTCCCTCTCTCCCTCTCCTCCCTCTCTCTCTCTCTCTCTCTCTCTCCACCTTTCATTACTAAACTTTTCATGTAACACAAAAGAAATACACAAAATGGGCATATATCAATTCTGTTCAGCTCAAACACCTAAGATCACCTTTCATTACTAAACTTTTCATGTAACACAAAAGAAATACACAAAATGGGCATATATCAATTCTGTTCAGCTCAAACACCTAAGATCATAGGTTACATGATGCAACATTTTGAATAATTTCCCATCATCATAACTAATCCAATAATGTAAAAGTTAAGCTTGTGTTATGACAATCTTGACTAGAATATAGTGCATCCCTGTACATTTTTCTTCAAAGCATAATCTTGAGTTTTCTATCAGTGTTCTCTCTAGTTTCTCCTGATCTTCTGCATCAGCCTGAGTTGTGCTGATGTTCGCCAAAACACAACCTATCCTTTCAGGATACTAGCAAAGAAGGTGAAAAAGCTGATGAAGTGGAAAAGGCTAAATCTTGTCAACTTGAATTTGGGAGTTATTGTCTCTGGTCCATTGAGCACAAAGAAATAATGAAAGATCATACAGTGAAAAGGCTAAAAGATCAACTCTTCGTAGCACGCTCATACTATCCAAGCATTGCAAAACTTCAAGGACAGGAAGCTCTGACTCAGGAAATGAAGCAAAACATACAAGACCATGAGAGGATTCTTAGTGTATCAACAGTTGATGCTGATCTACCATCCTTGTAAGAATAAAATTTTTACTTCTTAAGATCATAGTTCCATGTGATGATTAGTCTTAAAGCTGATTGTGTGATGACTGTGTTACTAAGAACAAATTTTATTACATTGAATTTGGGTGTCCTATAAGTTAAGATGATCTATTTTTTTTTTTTTCTGAATGCCCCTTAGGGAATATAATTATTTATGCCTTAAAGAGACAAGGAGATTTAATTCAATCTAGGGACGTTATTTCCAATCATCAGTGGGGCTTAGTACTTAGATAATTTGAATGACAAGTTGTTTTGTGATTTCAGTATCAACAGAAGGATGAAGCAGATGGAGCAAGCAATAGTGAGAGCCAAATCTTGCACAGTAGATTGTAAGAATGTTGACAGGAAGCTTCGCCAGATACTTGATATGACTGAGGATGAAGCTCATTTTCATATGAAACAGAGTGCATTCCTCTACAATCTCGGTGCCCAGACATTGCCGAAAAGTCATCATTGCCTTTCTATGAGGTTGACACTAGAATATTTCAAATCATCTTCATTGGATTCTGATGATTCTCCTGGCAAGTTCAGTAGTCCAGAATACAGGCACTATGTTATACTATCTAGGAACGTTCTTGCGGTTTCTGTAGTGATCAACTCAACTGTGAGCAGTTGTAAGGTATTTGGCTGATATTTACAATGTTAATCCATACACTATCTTCTGAGCTGGACTTCCGTAGCATACTTACTGGTCTTTTTGCAGGAGCCAGGCCACCATGCTTTTCATATCCTAACTGATGCTCAGAACTTCTATGCCATGAAACACTGGTTTGCCAGGAATTCATATAAAAATGCAGCTATCCAAGTCATAAACTACGAAGCCGTTATTTTGGAGAAACTTCCAAAGTACACTATCCGGCAACTGTATTTGCCAGAGGAGTTCCGTGTTCTCATTAGGAGCATTAAGCAGCCTACTGAGAACACAAGAATGAAATATCTGTCACTGTT